GTCTTGAATCCAAATGAGGTAGCATCACGTACACTAAACCTAATCATATGTCGTATACTTAATCACGTTGGATCGTGATTATGTGTATAAAGTAATTGCGGTATCAAAATTTTAACTGAAAAAATAACTGAAATAAACGTAACTTGAAAATTTAATTGAAAGTGAATTTTGAATCGATTATTTGTTGTTTTTAGATTAATTTCCGTTTGTAAAAAAATATATATATAACTTATAACCTCTTTCTCACTCAGTAAAATTTAAAGATGATTAGTAAAAATATTGGTAGAAATATTCATATGACTACACTTCAAATTGCGATTAAAAATAAAAACTACGAATATGCCTATAATTCTTTTAGGAATCTTTATAATAAGGATATTATAAATTTTAAAACTGAAGAAGGCTACATATTATCTTGTGCTTTGTTTAATTTATACATTTCAAATTTTACTATTTTAAAAAATTTTTTATAAATAGAGAAATTAAAATGGAAAATGGAAAAAAATTAGATTTTTGAACTTTCATATCTAGTTTATATTAAGAATTCTATTGGCCGTGGTATTTAATATAATGGGGGGCCATAGATACCCTCGGTGTCTTGAATCCAAATGAGGTAGCATCACGTACACTAAACCTAATCATATGTCGTATACTTAATCACGTTGGATCGTGCATTATTTGTATAAAGTAATTGCGGTATCAAAATTTTAATTGAAAAAATAACTGAAATAAACTTCAATTGAGAATGAAACTAATGAAGCTTTGTTCAATCAATATTTTAACAATCTATGTAATTTGAAAATTTAATTGAAAGTGAATTTTGAATCGATTATAATTGTTGTTTTTAGATTAATATCCGTTTGTAAAAAAATATATATAACTTATAACCTCTTTCTCACTCGGTAAAATTTAAGATGATTAGTAAAAATATTGGTAGAAATATTCATATGACTACACTTCAAAATGCAATTAATGATTATAAAAGTAAAAACTACGAATATGCCTATAATTCGTTTAGAAATCTTTATAATGAGGATATTTAAATTTTAAAACTGAAGAAGGCAAGAAAATTTGTGGACAGGCTACATATTATCTTGCGCTTTGTTTAATTAATGGACAAGGTGTTGAACGGGATATAGATGCTGCTTTAAGTATCGCAAATGGTCTAGAAGAAAACAAAAAATACGAAGATGCTTGGAATATTTATTCAGAACTAACCAAGGATGATGAAATAAAATTACTTAAAATGGCGAATTGCTACTTAACAGGAAAAGTCGAAAAAGATGAACGTCTTGTTTTAAATACTGGATTTAATCTTTATAATAAGAGAAAATATAAAGAAGCATTTAATATTTTTTCAAAACTTATTTCGAGCAAAAATGAGGAAATAAGTTTTCAGGCCAGGTGTATAATTGCATGTTATCATTTGTATGAATATAATGGCATTAAAAAAGATAAAAGTCAAGCTTATCAACTTATCATTAAAGGTCAAAAGTGGTGAATACTGTAGAAGGAAGAAATACTTGAAATAATATTTATATCAATTTGACTCTGAGGAATAAAAAAATTAGCACACTCCCTTTGTAAAAATGTTATAATCGATATTGAATTTGTGAACTGACCGATATTCGGCCTCCTAACGCTAATATAAATCTGTATTTATTGATTTGTCAAAAATATCATATAAATTTATCGACTGACTCCTGCTAGTTTTAGTTTTACTACTGATTTTCTATGTGATGATTCTACCAAATTTATATTACCAGTTATGTTTACCAGAGTTATGTTTACCAGAGTTATGTTTACCAGAGTTATGTTTACCAGAGTTATGTTTACCATTATATTTACCAGATTACAAATTAATTATATCTAGGGATGTAAAATTACAGTAATTTTACGTAACTTTGTGTAATTTTGCGTAAGATTCGGTAAATTGAAATTTCATGTAATTGTAATTTTGAACACATGACATTTAGTTTCTGAGCTCAAACTTTCGGTGATTCAGGAGTTACAATTTGGATCGTACATTAAAATCAAATGATACAATAATACTGGCCGAACTTTTGTAAATCTGGTACTTTATGTATAACGTAATGAAAATTACATGAAATCTAATTTTCTGAAACTTACGTAAAATTACATGTATTGTAAATTGTAATTTATGTAACATCCCTAGATGAGTCCAAACAGCCTTCTATAGCAAAAATATAATTATTTATTGCCCTATTTGGATATTTGATTAAATAATTGATTAATTAATCTATCAGGTATAACCGACTATTTAGCGATGACTAATACTAAGCCGCGGCTTAGTCGACTAACCGGCCCTAGACTGGTCACACCAGCGCCAAATAAAAGAGGACGTCAAAATTTAATAAAAATTAGAACTCAGAATTATTAAATTTTATTATACTACAATATAATTTTGTATGTCATATTAATTGATACAATAAAAGCTTTTGAATATTTAATTTCTATAACTTTATAAATTTTTCTTATTAATTTTTAAAATGAAACTATACAACCTTTTGACATGCAAAACCTTTGATCGAATGCTAAAATAAATGAATAAAATAATAATAGTCGAAATGATTTTTTATATTCATCAAATTTGATCCATTCGTTTTTGGACAGCATGAAACAGCTTAACAATCAACAATTTTAAGCATAAGCTGCCAAAAAATCAACTTTCTTCTAATGCTTAAGAAGTAACTTGTTATATACATGACAAAATGAGTGTGTTCTAGTGATGCCAACATAACCTTTTAACGGCACTATGTATTGATTTTATCACGTAGTATAACTGATTTTAACATTTGTCGTAGCTAAATCTGTCAAAATAAAAACAATATAACTAGTATATAATTATAGTGTGGTAAGTTATTTTCTTTATAGTTGAAACTAAACTTTATATAATGCAATAAATCTATAATTTAAAAAACTTCAAGGAATTTATTTTAAATTAATATTTGCACTTAACATTAATTATATAGCTTTTTTAAAGCCAATTACAGTCAACCTCCTATATTATTACACGTCTTTTTACTTAAAAGCTTTTTAAAAAATGGGCTTATGAAAGTGATGTACTTATATAGAAGTAGCTTTTCATAAGTTTAACAGTAATTTGTCCTTAAATATAAAACGTGATTAAGAGAGGTTTTATATGATGTGACTATAGAGGAGTTGATAATTTAGCGTACAACTGTATTATTTATTCTAAATTCCTAAGATTTCGTCAACAACATTCGATGCTTCAAGTCCATATTTCCATGACCTTTACTTGAAGATGATTTATAGAAATTCTGAATCATTTGTATTACAGTTAGGGTTGGGGGCACGGAAAATCATCACATGGGGCACGGCATAACACCCTAAATCATCACATGACATTGATTAGTAAAACATCACATGTGATTAGTAATTTACATGTGATTAATAACATCACATACCCGTGCCCGTGCGACAATTTGAATTCACACCCCCGTGCCCCAATCCTAATTACAGTATTAACTTGATGTGTTGATTTGTGATGTTTTTGTTTGAAAGTTCTTTGATAATTATTATTAATTTTATATTGTCAATATTTTTTTTTTTATATTGTGGACAACTAGAACATTCATTAGCCAAATGTGATTCCAAATTGGTTATTATTCCTCTTTGTCAGTACGTAGAACAACATTTACATTGAATAGGATAGTAATTTCCTTTTTTTTTTCTATCAATATTATAAATAAAAAGCCTAAAAAGCCTCAATAATAAATCATTGTTTTTGGTTAAATATATAAATTTATAGGATTTATTTATATTAATATCTTAGCTTTGCCGAAAACATAGATTTTCATCAATTTTTTGCGAGAGCACCCGAGATTCGTTAATTACACATATTTTTTTTAGCGGTGGGAGCACTAGGGTTTCATCACTTTAAATTTGGGATTTGACTTTCATCTAAAGAATTTGAGGGCTTCGCATTTCTTCAGAAGGATTTAAGGCTTCGTCATCAAAAAAGTTTCGTCTAACGACTATAGTTTACTGAACAGCCTGATTAACCAAAGTTCGATTAAAATTATTATTTAAATCGAAAAATCTGAAGCAGCGAACCCTGATATTTAGAGTTGTTGAAATTTTGAAATCCCGTATTGCATTATTGAATTCATGGCAAAATCATTATATCGATCACTAGCAAGTTACATTGAGGTGCCACTTGAAAATACCCTAAGTTAACATAACTTAAATTAAATACTGCACAATGGTAAAGATCTATAAAAATAAGAGATATTGTATAAAAATTATTAAATAAGGTTTTCAGATTAAACCGTGATAAAGCGAAATTGAGTGATTGTAAAGTTTTTTGCCTACCTTGTTGGTGAAAGTTATGGTAAAGTTTATGAGTATTTGTATGTACAAGCATAAAATCTTATAATTTTTCATCAACGATGTTTATGCTCCCACAGCATTACCATATAAGCAGATTTTTGATAATAAATAGGTGTCTTATTATTCATCTTTTCTAACCTAATACTATTTTCATAAATATATAGATATATATATAAATGAAATCACGAAAACGTAAAATTGTAAACACAAGTATAATAATATAAATATTCAAAACAATATTCATTACGAATCCCAAAAATAATTACCCTTTTAAACTAAAATTCCAATATGATAACAATATCTAACGTTATAAGCGTTATCCATATCAACTGATTTTTGATTTATGTCATCCTTTTAACCCTGAATTTATTTTCATAAAAATAAAAAAATTGTAAATCATGAAACATAAAATTTGCAAAATGTAAGACATAGCGACCAAACCATATTTATTACAGGATCCCAAAATTAATATTCATCCTTTCAATTCCAATATGATAATAATATCCAACGTTGTATGTTCACCCGTATCAGCTATGTTTATCCAATTATAAAATAATAATAATAATAATAATAATAATTGTAAGTTATGAGACGCAAAGCTTGCAAAACATAAATATAATGTATACAAATATTCCAAATCATGTTCATTACGAATCTCAATATATGTTCCTGTAATGTTACCTATATCTTGATTATTAATGGACGTCTTATATGTTCGTCCTCTTTAACCCGATTCTATTTTCAACTCTGGTACCATGCAGATAATTATATCCAAGATGAAGTTCAGAAGACATTGTCGCTTTCTAACTGAGTTCAATCGATCATAAAAAACGATTTTAACTTGAGTGTTGTCGTATTACGTATCAATGATATAAAGAGGAAAAGAAAGTTAGATTTCTGAATAATGCAAGGGGAAGGAAATCAGACTTCGTCATTCAAATCTATTATTATTAGATTTACAATCTATATGTTGAAAAGTTCACCCGCTTTCAATTACATACTGTACGTAATGCGCACCATAATAATTCAAATGTATGAATCCTAATTTTTTATTTGTTAACACACATATAGCTTGAAGTGAAATTTTGGACACATTTACCCTTTTATCGTATATTTTTAACAATTTGTCAAGAATCATCTCCCATTCTAGCTATGATACGTTATCTGCGATCTGCGGAAATTAGATTACATAACTGTAATCAGATTAATAAAATCTTTTTGAGCACATTTTTAGGGTTTAAGGGTCAGGGTTAGAGGTGGGTTTAGAGTAGAGTTTTATGTTAAACAAGTATAAGTAGGTTTTAAAGAGCTATATAGAAACCCATATGTCAATAAAACTTGCCTATCGCTATATAAATCATATACTTTATTTTTTATTTTTATAACGATAACTCGAATTCGAAATCATCAAGATAGCTTGTGGGTCAGACGATAATAAAAATTGTACCAAATAATAGATCAAATCCTCTTATGAAAGTAACATAAAAAAGTATGAAAATTTTTTTCTTACAAAAATGAAAGTAAATATCGAAAATTTAAAGATTATTTTTAATAGATAAATTAGATCTTTTTTTGTGAATTGAAAGTCGATATATAAGCTTGAAATTTTTTTATTTGTGAATATAAACGTGATATGAAAAATTTTAGTGAACCTTGTCATTATTAATATTTTTTTTTACAGACGAAAAATATAATAAATTATAATAAATTTGATGGGTTTCCCGATTGACGTAGAAAATATATATTTACCTGGAACTTAACGTGGGCTTGATGAACTCAAAGTAATCATCGACGGAAATTAACCTTTGTTTTGACGAAAATTCTGGAAAAGGATCACTAGCCGAAAACGAAATATTATTCACCTAGTTTACATCGTGAACAACTTTACTAAATACATAAATATCGATTTACTTAGTACCATAAGACACTTACCCTATTACCAACGTTGCTTTTAGAATGTTTTTATACACTTAATCAATGATACCTCGTGATCCTGAGACCAGAATTAGATGATCTTTATACCATTCAATTCGTCTCGATGAGACGAATTGAATGGAGTAAAAATTATCCGATTCTGATTGTTGTATCGCAAGATATTTCAATTCGTCAAAATACCCTACCTCCCCTAAAATTTGACTTCATTATACATTGTATAAACCTGGTTGCAATCATCCAAAATAATTTACTATATTATTATTTTTTGTTTAAAAGTTAAATATTATGTGTAAATTTTATCTTATAAATAAAAAATCTTTTATATAGAGCACTTGTTTGACAATATCTCATGATCTAGTGAACAAAATTGAATAATCTTTGTACTATTCAATTCATCTCAATGGGATGAATCGAATGGTAGAAAAGTCATTCAATGCTGATTGCTGTATCGTGAGATATTCCAAATTCATCAAAATATCCATTTTTACCAACAGGAAAGCAAAGGAATAGAAGAATTAATGTGTGTTATGTTTGAAGATATACTAGACAATGAAGGATCAGATAAAATACTAGAAATTATTTAAAACAATAATAAATTAGATAAAACACTAGAAATAAAACAAGAAATAAAGAATTAGATGAATGCTAAAAATAATACAAGATAATAAAGAATTAGATAAAATAAGACAGGATGAAAATAAGCTAGATAAAATAAAACAGGATAAAATAAAGTCAGATAAAAAGAACCAGATAAAATAAAACATGATGAAAAAGAATTGGATAAAATAAAATAGATTTTACTAAAATGCGCCTATGGTGTTTTTACACTATAGGTCCCGCTTCTCAAAATGTATTAAGTAAGCGGGATCAGGTCCTCTAAGTAAAAATGTTCAGAAACCCACAATAACTGAGATTGGGATCTTTTATTAGCTCTATATTATATTATATAAAAAAAATAATTATTAATTTCCTAACACTAACTCTAAATTTTATTAAAAGCAATTATATATAGATGCTAAAACACCATAAGTGCATTTTATAATAATTGAAATAAAATTAGATAAAAAGAACTAAATTAAGCAATATAAGATAAAATAAAACAGGATCATGATAAAATGACTCATTATGATTATTATGGCCATGCAATATTTCCATATAAATCCATTCTTTTAGGTGATATACTATTTGATAAAAGTTTTAGCTTCAATTTCATTTATATAAACAATTATGTTAGTAAATTTTGTTTTGAAGATATAGGAGCCGGCACATGCAATGACTTAAAATTATCATTAAAATTATTTATGTATTTACTATTTTAAATGGCATTGTTGTGTTTTATTATATGATTCTTTATTTCTCACATTTACAGATCTCAATAATTCCATTAGTTCCACTAACACTAAACCAATTTAGTCAAAATATGTAGAAAGTATTCTGCTATAAATAATATTACAAATGCTCTCAGTTATATAACTTTGATCGTTTATTCAGCAAATGTATCAGGATATATACTTAGCACTGATGCTCTTACGACAAAAATAGTTTTTGAAATTTGTACTATATCACTTAGTAGATTGATTGAACATTTTTGGTGATAATGAACCTAAAATAATTAATACAATGGTTTCTTTTTATCTGAATTGCATATGATTATGAATAAAAGAATATGATCTAATACATAAAGAAAAATCAGAAAATCAGATAAAAAAACAAAGAAGTTAGCAAATTGAGTAGATAGAAATTTTAAAGAGAAAATAATTGAGGAAAAGGAAACATTAGAAAATAATAAAGAATAATTAGCGGACAAAATTTTAAACTATAAAATAGATAAAATAAATGTCAAAATAATGGAGATAAATAAACCACTATTATGTCAGATAGAAGAAATGATGGATTTGTGCAGTAAAAGAGGATGTACAAAAAAATTTAATAAGTATAGAATTGGTTATTATAATAAATAAGACAATCGAAACATTTATTTTACTGCAAGCTTTTTATGAAATGTAAGAAATCTATAGATAAAGATCTGATAATAATCATGTACAACAAAATATTAAATTGTTAAAAATCTTTTGCAATGACAAAAATATATGAGATCTAAAGGGTATATATAACGATTTAGATGAGCTAAAGGACATGGATAAGCTAAAGAGTGAATATGTTAGAATGTTTGAAAATTCATATTTTGAGAACAAAAATCTAGCTCAATATATAAAGAATGAAGTGAAAGAATTGAAACCGACATTTACGGATACACCAATAATAAAAATAGATAATTAGATTCTTTAGATTGTAGTTTATTTTTTTTTTGGATACTTGTTATGTATATATTGTTAATTTTCCTTAAGTATAGAATTTTTTTCAAATATATGTTTTTAAATATTAATTTTATTATTAAATTTAAATAAATTTTAATAATATAGATTAAATTTCTTTGCTCAAATTTATGGAAACATAGTTAAAAAAAAAACTAAAAATTTTTATTAGTTTTTATTGATTGGTCAACCAACCAACAGAAAGAACTAATATAATAATAGACATTATACTAGATAATTAATGTTCAAAAGGGAATCTTGGAAATATTATTATTTTCAGTAGAATTTCCAAAAAAATAAAGAATTATTTATTTTTACATAATTAGTGATTACAGTAATTTTGAAAAGCGCAGTAAAAATACTTAATATATGTTTTCATACTCACGAATTACAGCCGTTTTCAAAAATGTGTGAACAACAATTTCATATACCTATGCGGGATAATCGAGAATTTGGAAATTTAAATTAGTAATTAAACTTCCCGATTAGAGCGGGTCTTGAAACTTCGGAAATCTGGGAAATATCATGAATTCGATCTGCGAACGTTCACACCTTTTTGAAAACAGCTGTAAATTGAATTGCATATTTTAAATGTTTAGATTCTTCGGGTGTTCTCAAGTTTCAACTTAGATGCGAAATTCATAGTGATCGAAATAGTGCACAAGTGTAATTTTAGCTATTATCTTACCATTTTGGATAAAAGTCAATAATTCGAATGACGATATTATTGATATATGCTCAGACATTACTATCACTGTGATTTTCTAATTATTGTAATGATGCTCAATTGCAACGATAGATCAAAATAAAGATCTCAATCACTGCTTGAGATGATTCTAAATAGGTTATCGAAAATTTTACAAAAAATATGTGTCGATTATGAAAATCCACAATAAAAAGTATGAAAACACTTGAACAATAATTTATTCATTTTAATATTTAAAATTTTTTTTTACGTAATAAATAATGTAAAATTAAATTGATTTAAACAGCCAATCATACGAATGTCTGCCTATGACTTTAACCCATTAATTGAGGCGCTTGAGAACGCCCTTCACATTCACGAATTAATTAGTTCAGATAAAGGAGATTCAATCTAATAAATATAAACAATAAACAATAAACATTATCTTACAAAAATAATTGTGTGGCGTGACCCACCTAGTATCGCCACCAAGATTAGGTACGTAAATCCGGAGCTTAAATTTACAAAAATGGAAAATACGAATCAAGTTTGTTCGTCTTGTCGAATTATAAAACCCAACACTGCATTTCAAAATAATAAAATTTGCATTGAATGTTCAAACCGCATATATAAAAGCAAAAAAAGAAAAAGAAAACGTGAGGACCATGTTTTAAACGATATTTGCATACAGCCAGAAAATGCTATAAAATCCGAAGAGCTTGAATATATAGTTTATGAGAAACCTATGGGTATTGAAGGAGAAAGTAACATAAATATATGGATCTTGATCTAATCGTAGATATTTCTCAAATAATTAATGAATTAGAAGTGAATGACACAAACGAAGCATCTGCAAGTTCAATAACACTTAAGATCGTAAAGATCTATGAAAAGAGAGATGGTTTTCTTATGCATTACCATAAAAAGATCATAACAAACAAATCAAGACTACTTCGTTTACGTATTGGTGCAATTGTCGCTGTGAGCTTGAAATAATCCGGAAGGTTTGTTATTAGATATATATATATATATATATTTAAAAAACTAAGTCTAATATTATTTTTAATTAGGTACAACGAAATTCTCAATATCCTTTTATTACAGAAGCTAATGAAACTTTATGGGAAAATATTCGATCATCAATCTTAATTATCCAAACACAAGTCAATTTAACGATTGATCTTGTAAATATAGAGTACCAAAAATATACTAAAGTGAATTCGAATCTGAAATTTTAAGAAAACTCATCATGAGATATAAAAATAATTTTTATTATCATATTTTCGTATCTACATAAATAAATATCTTTTATTAATTTTATGTTTTAGTCGTTTGATTATCTTGAAAAGCCTAACAATCTTCTCAAGCAAAAAAAAATAGCTTCGAAGCATTGAATCGAACTTTAAACCTATTCAAAAAATGGTAGATGACGTTAAAGATTTCGAACGAGCAAAGAAGCTTCCAAAAACTTGGAGTGGACGTAACAAAAACACCTTTTATTGGTAGCATTAAGTTCAAATATAAAGCTTTATACGTGTATTTAAGAAATTTGTATTTGAGTATAAATGAATTTTAAAATATTCGAATCGAATGTAATTCATAGTGATTATTAAGTAAAATCTTAAATTCTGATAAATAATATGAACAAATAAATAAAAAAATCTTCAATTATTTCTTCAAAATTCTCATAATTCGGTTATTCTTGCGCTCAGATTGAAATTTAAAAAGCTGATTTTGGTGGCGATACTAGGTGCGTTCTTGCAAAAAGTTATTATATAATCCTATGATTTTCATGATAAATTATAGAGAAAATTTTGATATTTTTAAATTTCAGCAGAAGTCACGTCACGTCTTTATAATTTAGTAATACATTTGTTGAACCTACTAATAATCGCCATTAATGTACGTATTAGAAGTCTATCGAAAAACCAATTATATAAAATCATAACCAAAAAAGCAAATATGATCGCAAATTTCAAATATGGAATTACAATAGTCAGAATAATTTTTATTTACTGTCAATGATGTAAAGATAATATACAATTGATAAAATATTAATAAGGAAATAAAATTATAAAGAAAGAATCGAATTCTACTCTATGATTTATAAAAATGTATAACTTTATGTTAATATAACAAGCACTTTTAGCGTTTAGTGTATTTGATAACTGAGTGTTCTTTAAAGTTTAACTTTATATAAAAAGCGATTTTTTTCTATAATGAATACAATCTATTTGAAGCTAATGTATTTATTCATTTTCCACTTTGATAGCATCAACTTTGATAGCATCTACTTTGATAGCATCTACTTTGATAGCATCTACTTTGATAGAACCTATTTTAATAGTAAATTACAATTAATACACGTACTTAAATTATTTGAACGAACATAATAAAATAGAATAATACTTACATTCGGATAATTCTTGATTAATTTCTTCAATTTTTTTTGAACCATGTAAAATTGCATCCAATTCATCTTTGCTTAATATTTTAATTAGATAATTGTTCGCAATTTCTTTTGTCTTTACATTTTCAATATTTAACATATCCAAATAACCTTGTAGATTTTTTTCAATAACTTTAATTTTAGTTGAATTAATTAATTTTTCTATGTCGCTTTTTTTTCTTGAAAGTTCAAGTATTTTTCTATTGATCTTTTCTTGTTGAAGTTCTTTTCGAAGTCCATCGATTATAATGTCTTTTTTCATCATATCTTCTCGCATACTAATAAGTTTTTCTTTATGATCTTGTATATCCTTCTCAATAGCACCTAAATATTTATTATCAAGTTTATGTTGTTCCTTTAGTTCTTCAATTTCATCATTAGCTTTTGATAACTCTTCTTCGATTTCAGTAGGGCTTTCTAATTTGCTTTTTGCTTCTTGAATATCTTTTCTCAATGGAGGTATTAATTGTTGAGCATTTCCTCTATATTTTTCATCTTTAAACCAACCATATTTTAAATATCCATCTTTCAATTTGTGTTCATTTATTTCTAATTCTTTTCTTTGATCTTCTAAACTATCTAATTTTTTTTTCAATTCCCCGACTCTATCGTTCTTATTTTTTAACTTTTTATCAATTTCTTTCATTTTTAGACTGAGCTTTTGCTTTTCTTCTTCACGATCTTTTAGTTTCTTTTTAATTTTATCAGCATTCTCTAATAATTTATTACGTTCTAATTGACTGTTAGCGATTAAAACTAAATTTTCTAAATTTTTTCTCTTTTCATCTAAACTAGTATTCAAATTATCTATTTCTTGTTCTAGCGATTTCTTTACTTCTAATTGTTCATTAACATTTAATTCCAGGCTCTCCAAATTCCTTGACTTTTCTTCTAACTTTATATTTAATTCATTGATTTCTTGTTCTACCGATTTTTTTCTTTCTGATTGTTTGTTCACATCAGACTCAAGAACTTTTCTTTTTTCTTCCAATTCAGTTAAATTAGCCTTTAACTTATTAATTTCTTGATTCAATTGTTCAGAGTTCTTAGCTGATTGTTGATGTTCCTTTTGCAAATCATCTATTTCATTCTTCAGTTGATTTTTTTCATTATCTAAATTGATCACTTTATCTTTCAAATGGGATAATTCTATATGGGACTGAATAGCTAATAGGTCGATTAAAGTGTTATCTTTAAGTAACTCTGGTAAATTCTTTATATCGATTCCTAATAATTCTTGTACTTTGGAAGTTTCTTCTTTTAATCTTGCGATCTCTTCTTCTTTAATTTTTATAGTGTTATTATCGACATCCCTTAAATTGTGTAGTTTTGCTGCTTCGTTCTTTAAGGTTTCAATTTCTTCCTTTTGATTTTTTATAATGTCATTATCAACAAGAACTTTTCTTCCAGTAATTATGCCACTAACGGTTTCTGATAATGTTTCAGTTCTTGTTGTTGTTGTCATTACTGATGTAAGTATTATTATTTTGGTATTTACGAAAAGTATCGAAAAGTATCGAAAAGTATTAAAAAATGTAATATTATTATTATTATTATGAATAAAATTCAAATTCACTTTTTAAATTTATTTTTTTTTTTAACGATTGTTTGTTAAATTTTATAAACTTTAATAACGATATGATTAAGATTTTGCCAATGTAAATCGATTTGGGATTAAGATTAATCTACAGCAGCTTTGTTTATCGTTGTACAACTGAATAAAAAAAAATCAGCGTTAGAGGCTGTGTAAAAATATATACCAAATTTAAAAGAAATTCTTTGTTGTAGTTTCATACGTAATTGTTATTCTTTATATATAGTTTCTTACAAAATTTTCTTTTTCCTAATTTTGCTAAATAACGATGATTTTGTTTATTTTAATAGTATAAGATGTTAGAGTCATTTCCAAACTTAAATCTTTGTGATTAGAGTTTGTGAATGAAAATTATCCACGTACATATGTACGTATGTACATGGATAAAAAAAGATATTTATTTAATTGGTCAATTGTAGATGCAATCAAATTTGAGAATACACAGAATACACAGAATACAAATTTGAAATATCTAACTGTATAACGATAATAAGTTTTGAACTTTCCCTTTTCTCGAAAGAATATAATATTGACCAAATCAGACAGTATTATAACTAATATCAGTTAATTTCGTTTTTCGGGAAAATAGATTTCGAGAAATGTGTACATCTCGGGTATAAATTTTATTTTAAATTAGATTTAGGGCGTTCTTGAGCATCTACCTTAACGAATTCAATAAAAAATCTGATTCGTTATTGAGTTCATTTAGGTAGGTGCTTTAGAACGCCCTTAGATGAAATAATATAATTATTCAGCAGCTTATAAAATTTAAAATTTAGTGCAGTATTACGATAGATCGATATACAGTTAAATTAAAATTAATGGCTAAATGGTAATAATTGAAGTTCAATAAAATATCTTACAATAGTAATTTCCAACGTAATGATTCTGTAAAATAAAATCTTGTAAGGACTTTCTTAATGACACGGAACTATGCTCAACTTTGAAGCATATGATTATGCAAGTACCCCTATTTCTTTATTACACAACATTGTATTCACCGTAGATAATGACTTTTTTTTATTATTTCTAGGTGAAATGATATCACTTTTTATTGCTGTATTGAAATTATTATTCTTTAGTTTCTTCAAAAGTTGAAAATTATCTTTTAACAGGAAATATTTAATATAAATACGTATATGCTTTTAAGTTTCGGGCATTCGAACTTTCTGTACAGCCTGCGTGATTTCCATCGCAAATTTTAGATCTACAGAATATCTAGATAATGTATGTAACCATCTCTTTTCGTAAATTATCAATGCATTCATCCGAACACTTAAAAATTTTATAGTCAGCTGATACCCTGCATAAAAGCCTAAACCTTTAAAGGTATGATTAATGTTTAATAATAGATTACATAATCCATGATGCTGTGCTGCCATTCCAGGAAAATTAAACCGAATTTTAGTTTTTTTTTTAGAAATTAATTTTTTGCTATTTTGGCAACTTTGAGTGAATTTAGGGTGACAATCTCTTTGATACGTAATGTTCTCTTGCTTTTGCTATTTTAATTTTACAAATTGTAAATTAATAAATAAGTTGAATAATATTTGTCAGGCGATCTACTTAGTAAACAACCTAAATCAGGTAATTTGAAATTTAAATCTGAAAATTAGATATTTTTCAATTGACGAAGATTACAATTTATTATTAAAAACTTATATGTAGTAAATTTCTTTATCATAAAACTTATTAAAACATTGCTATAAAATACAACGATAATTTTGCAATACTACTAATACTACTCAAAATTTTTAAAATAAAGACCTATTTTTACATGGAAATAAAGAATTATGCTGTATTCATATTACTGTATGAATAGCGATCAAAAAGGAATTTGCTATAGCGATAATAGCGATAGCGATATGCTGATGCTTACAATATCACAGAAATGTGTTCAAATCTAACGTAACCAAAAAAATTATATGCCACCATTGTCTCGTGATAATTTCTTTGATAATGCTTATATAATACGTTTATAAGATGGCTAACTCACTTTACAATTTCCAATTTCAACTTAAACTTTGTAAGCTACAGTACATGAACAAGTCGAAAAGGTTAAATTATAGATGACCCCACGAATAATTCATATGACGAATGATTCATATGACGAATAATTCATATGACGAATAATTCATGTGACGAATAAGTATTTATTAAATAACTGTTGTATTAGTTAATTATTCGTCGCATAGAATGATTCACCACACCCTGTACCAAATGGAAGGTAATAAACTTTATCCGAAGAAATTTCGTCAAATGGGAGTCTTAAACACTCACATTTCATTTTCTAATTTCTAAATTTTAATACACAAATAAAATTTTTTAAATTCTCCAAAATACGCTAATTCTGAACCCGATACTTTGTATTTTTTTCTTAATCAATTGTAACCTTTATTTTTTTGCATTGAGAGTACTTTATGCCAATGTTTTTTTTTTTAATTATTGCTAGTTTTATAAAAATGGCTGTCCTTTCACTTGCACATCTAATTTTTTGAAAAACCCAACGCCTATATATTACCATTTTGATTAAAAGGACTAAAAGTAGAAGTGATTCACCAGTTTAACTGACTATCATTTTTCCGAATTTAATTCTAAACTAAACCAATTTTTAACTATCGGAGAAATGAGATCACTAGAGTAGAAATGCTGCAATGTGTGTATCCCCTTTAAATAGTATCAGGGTATTATTCAATTGTAAATTTAAGGTATTAATCATGTGCCATACGATTAATAGATTATTGTAGTGACCTCATCATTTGGCACTGGGTTTGACAAATTAATTCGAGTGACGAATAAGCATTTACTATGAATTTTATATACAGTACAAACCACTTATTTGTCATATGAAATGATTGATCATGCCCCAGTGGCAATTTAAGGGGTCACCTACAATAGATACACGTCACTCTGGTTATACCCATAGTAAAATCTTTCTATACCGACATTTTTTTTTCAAAAATTTAATATAAAATGTCGGTATAACTCACTGTACCAACATTTTGAATTTTTTTACTAATGTCTCAAAAATGTCGATATAACCAGAGTGGCGTGTATATAAGTGCTTGTTCTCATCCTTAGTTAAGAGAGAAGATGCTCTCCAAAATTCCTCTCCTAAATAAAGATAACATAAGTTTCCTTTTTATTATAAATGCCTAATAAATCATGAATAACCGAATATCTAATTTATTGCCCAATGCGGAGTTAAACTCGGCAGGAAAGTACCAAGCTCTCCCTTATGATGGTTGCAATAGTTCTGTAACAAAAATTTTACAGTAAGTCATATTAGACATCACGATAATTCTAATACCAACTAATTCGACCCAATCACATACTGCATGTATTGCAATAGCTGCTAAATTCTGTAAAGGTTTTTTTACAGTAAAGCCACTAAAAATATTAACAAGACAGGTGGCGCCTATCACACTAGTGTGTGTTTAATTATGGATAGTGAATCTCATATTATCAGTCACGATCATATCGATATGGTTATTAATGATCGATATGTACCTTGACTGGTCATAATATTATTATGATGATCGATCATGATATTAATATTATTATTATGATCGATCATGATATTAATAACGTATAGTCGCGAAATAACGCGCAGGGGCGTTATTTCGAATTTCAGCCCGAATTAAGCTTAATTTAGGCCGTGATTTGAAATTACACCCCTGCGTGTTATTTAGCAGCTATTACTATACGGTAATCGATCTATATTCTTGACCGGTCAAAACATTATGATCGATTAATTATCGATCCATCATGTGGATAATCGATCAATGACCGATCACCAAAAATTTGACCGATTCCAATCTCTAGTGTTGAGTTTGAAAACGTCGAGTCTGTCGCTAGAAGACCAGAATTCTCGCGCTACGTCAATTTCAAGGCTTGAATAGAGGCGTAAATACGATTTG